TTTCAGTCATTCGAATACTTTACTGAGAAAATAAAGTAACTAAAACTCCCATCATGATTTACTTCAAATAACTCAGGTTTGCCAGAATAATGGGTGGGTTTGGGGATTAAATGAAATGGACCATGTGTCAATAATTGCTGAAGGAGAGTGATGGGATATGGGCTTCATTTTTATTTGAAATATGAAATTGCCATTTTTAACTAAAAAATTGTCACATTTTGGCAATTTCACACAGTTTAAGCTAGTGCTGTTCTCATTATTTTTGTAAATTTTCCACAATATGAAAGTTTTCAAATAAAAGATAAAATGTTACCTTCCACCAGGCCTTTGCTAGAACATGAATGTACTTTCTTATCCTGGCTCTTGTATCTCATAATTGAGTGGAAATTCCCATTCCCCAATCAACTTCTCAAACAGCAGCACTGCCTCACTGATTTCCCTTTATTATGGAACCTGGTACTGTTCTCAGGATTTTTCCTATTAACAACAATCTCTCCCCATCCTGTTGTGTTAATTGGATACTACCTTATCCTTATTGCTGGTAAAGCTCATCCTGTTCTTGAAAAATCACTTCGTTAGTTTCTTATGATCACTTCACATTCTCTTCCTACCTCACAGTCTATTATTGGCAATCCTAACTAATATGGAGGTCATGCCCTTGTCCAAGTTACTTATATTTACCAATCCGGGTGCTGATGTCTCTTTATTTGTCCAGTGCACCCCAGGTTGTGAACTCCTGTATTAAGGAAAGAGACCCTGTCTTCTATGAATATCTCATGCTTACATGGCATCGGGCACATAGTTAAATGCTCAAAATATTTAATTTTTAAAAATTTCAAATACTTTCAACTTTCAGAAAATTGTATATAAAAATGGAAAAAAGAACTTTCACATACCCTTCACAAAGATTCATGTTGCTAGCATCTTATTACCTCTCTCTCTCTCTCTCTCTCTCTCTCTCTCTCTCTCTCTCTCTCTCTCTCTCTCTCTCCCCTCCCTCCCTCTACACACACACACTTTTTTCTGAAACAGTTGAGAGTAAGTTGCAGACTTTATTTCCCTTTGCCCTTCAATGTGTTTCCAAGAACAAGGACATTCTGTTATATATACATAGTAAAGTTAGCAAATTCAAGAAATATAACATTGATACTGTACACTATTATATAATATACAGATCATATTCAAATTTTGTTAATTGTCCCAAGAATGTCCTTCACTGCTATTTTATTTTTCTGGTCCATGATCCATTCTAGGATCACACATTGAATTTAGTTGTCATGTCTCTTAATTCTCTGAAGTCTCCTTAAATCTGGTACAGTCTTCAACCTTTCTTTGCCTTTCATTACATCAATACTTTAGAAGAGTACATGCCAGCTATTTTGTAGAACATCCCTTAATTTGGGTTTGCCTGATATGCCCTCATAATGAGAAGTTATGCATTTATGACAGGAGTAAAACATAAAAAGGTACATGATTGTGGGTGGTGTTAACTTTGATTACTTGATTAAGATATCTGCCAGGTCTTTCCACTATAAAGACACTTCTTTTCACTTTGTACTTAATAACTAATATATGAGAAGATACTTTGAGAGTACATAAATATTATGTTCCGCATCAAACTTTCACTCGTTTTAGGATCCATTTATGACACTTGCCTGAATCAATTACTATGGTGGTTGCCAAATAGTAAAATTTCAAAATAATACATATGCATTGATTAATATGATTCATTCATTTGTCCTACAGAAGGGACATCTCCTTCACTAGGACAGCAGCCTCTGGTTGGCTGCAAGAGTGGAGTCTAGGAGACAAGCTAGCAGCTTGGCTCTAAAATACAATGATACTTTGCAGTGTTTGAACACCTTGGATGAGGTTGGTTCTCCTGCAAGCCCCGCTGGCCTTTATCATGGCACAAAATGGACTACATGACTTTCCCAAAATAACTGTTTGCTCAGTAGATCCCATGACTGCCTTCTCTTACTATTTTCCATCAAACTTGAGACAGAGGTGGTAAATGGGTGGGAGGGTACTCTTGCCTTTCATTTTGATTTATTTGAACAACATAAAATGGAATTCAGTATTCCACACAAGCATTATTGGCCATTCTGGAGACCCACATTTTTAAGCACCAGGATGAAGGCATCATTTTTTATGTGGATTCACATATAGAAAATGAGGGCACCGTGACTACATGGAGGGCAGAAAGAAGTATGTTGTGGAGCTATTTCTTTTGGGGACTATATAACTTTCCTAGGGCTGCTATAACAAATGACCACCAACTGGGTGGCTGAAATTTATTCTCTCACAGTTCCAAAAGCTAGTAATTTGAAATCAAGGTGTGGCAAGGCCATGCTCCCTCAGAAGCCTCCAGGAAAGGATCCTTCCTTGCCTCTTCCAACTTCTGGAATTCTTAGCTTGTGGTTGCATAACTTCAAACTTGGCCTTCATCTTCACATGGTCTTCTTCCCTCTGTGTCTTTGTGTGTTCTCTCTATATATGTGTCTATATCCAAATTTCCCTTATAAGGACATCAGCCATATTGGTTTAGGGCCCACCTTAAAGACCTCATCTTAACCCATTTCCAAATAAGGTCACATTCACAGGTGCCCAGGGCTAGAACTTGAATGGGAGCCAATTTAACAGGAACCATGTCTGAAATCCAATCCATTTGAGAACACAAAATGGAGTGCCATTTTGATATAGTGCATAAGCCCAATATAATAGGGCCCTCTGTCCCTTCTGCTCATTCTGGTCTTGGTTGGCACTGCCAACATGTAAGGAAGGAAACTGAGCAGACAGAACATGCTCAGCCCCCTTGAAATAGACTTTGGACATAATTTTCAAATGATCACAAGTTATTCATGTAACCATTACATAGAAGACAATAATAGAGAACAATCCATTGTCTGTAAGGCTCTGGCCCCTGCATTCTTCATAGAATTCTCATAATTATTATATAAATAGATTTGTCACCATTTGATAGATGGGGAGAATGAGACCCAGTGAGATGAAGTGACTTCCCATAGATCACAGCTACTGATAGGAAATTCCATGCAGAGCTGAGCCATGTCTGTGAAGCATAGAGCCTGGCCCCATGGTAGGCGCTCAGTAAATATTTGTTGGCTGAATGAGTGAATGGATGACTAAATCTGCGACCATAGCTCTGTTCTTCATTTCCGGATCCATTACTCTTTCCACTGGATCACACAAATGACTGTAGACTGAAGTATGGTCTCAAGACAATGACTGGAATATAGATGTGACTTGGTCAATTTCAGATTATTTTTCTATATTTAACTAGAGGACTGGTGCATGAATTCATGCACAGGTGGGGTCCCTCTGCCTGGCTGGCGTTCGGGGATGATCAGGGCCATCTCACCCAGTCCCTATCGGGGCCAGCTGGCTGTGGGGAGGGACCACGGGAGGTTGGCCGGCCAAGGGAGGTTGGCTGTGGGAATGCACTGACCACCAGGGGGCAGCTCCTGAGTTGAGTGTCTGCCCCCTGGTGGTCAGTGTGCGTCATAGCTACTGGCCGGTCATCCGGTCATAAGGTCACTTAGGCTTTTATATATATAGATAGCCTTCTGAATTCTGTGCTTATAAGCACATCAGTCTATAATTGATTTTTTTACTCCTCCACATGTGCTAAACTGATCAAGAAGCCAATCTGTCAAGGTTCTTAAGCCACTAATTTTACTTGGACTACATATTTGTCACAAATTACATTTGTACAAAAAAAAATCCTTATCACATGGACAGTTTTATAATAACAATGTATCAAGGAAGTAAAGAATTCAACATGTTAACTTCATATCTTTGAAATGGAATGTTGATGTTCCCTTATACTTATTTCTGGATCTTCATTAACATCACTGAAGTAGCCAGGAAAGCTCTATTTAGCCTCGCCAACAAGAACTCATTAACCACATGCTGTGTGCCCAACCCTATGCTAGTTACTGTGGCGGTGGTGGGCGGGGGTTAGAGATCAGAAAGAACCTCTCTCAAGGAACTTCCAATCTAGTGAGTAATGTGGCCTTCACCTGAGAAACAATGAAGAGAAGGGTTACATTTGCTAAGCACCTGCTGGGGGCCAGAAACTTTACAAACCCTGTAAAGCAAGTATTACTCCCACTTAATAGATGAGCAAACTGTGGGGCAGAGAGGTTAGGACAACTTGCCCAAAATCACAGCTAGTAGGTGGTAGGACTAGGATTTGAACCTAGGCCTCTGTGACTCAAAATAATATGAGACAGTTTATAGTCAAGTGCTTGGTTTCATGGGCCAGATAAGATGTACTGAAGAAGTTTCAGCCAGAAACTTGGAATCTGAAAACCAAGATGGGGCCTCTAGGACAGGGGTCCTCAAACTTTTTAAACAAGGGGCCAGTTCACTGTCCCTCAGACTGTTGGAGGGCCGGACTATAGTTTAAAAAAAAAAAAACAACTATGAACAAATTCCTATGCACACTGCACATATTTTGAAGTAAAAAAACAAAACGGGAACAAATACAATATTTGTATTTGCATGTGGCCCACGGGCCATAGTTTGAGGACCCCTGGTCTAGGAGATAGTGTCAGGAAGCTGACAGTCTTCAGTAGTGCTCTCTTCCAAATCCCTTTATAACCTGCCCTTACAACCACCTATTCACACTGAAGGGCTCAGGCTCTCTCAATTCCTCTTCTGGTGTACTTGGGGAGGTGGGAAGGAGAAGCTGGTTCACATTTCTACATTCCACTCAAACTGCCCCCTCTCTGAAGCTAGCTGAATTGTTATTCTTCCAAGTCCCTGACCTCCTGGGTCAATTTCTCCATGGTTCTGAACTCCAGAAGCACAGCTCCCTCTGAGCTGAAAGGAACCTCTTTGCTTTGTGTGATGACTGGGTGCCTCTTATTTCAGAACCACAAGACAACTCTCCCTCCTTCCTATCCTTATGCTTCTATTTACATCAAAGGCATAAAAGGAATTTAACATGTTTCTGTTTTGTTTTGTTTTCATGACAGGGAGAAGAGCTGGCTCAGTCAGATGTAGAATCTTCCCAGTCTGCTCAAGGCATTATCAACCAAATAGTTGCATCCGAAACATCAGATCTGTTAATTAAAAGAAAAGAAGGGAACATGCATTCTGACTTTTTTTCCCCAATGAAGAAATTAAGCCCTAACCAGTTTGGCTCAGTGGATAGAGCATCGGCCTGCGGACTGAAGGGTCCCAGGTTCGATTCCAGTCAAGGGCATGTACCTTGGTGACGGGCACATCCCCAGTAGGGAGTGTGCAAGGGGCAGCTGATTGATGTTTCTCTCTCATTGATGTTTCTAACTCTCTATCCCTCTCCCTTCCTCTCTGTAAAAAAATCAATAAAATATATTAAAAAATAAGTGGAACAACAATAAATCTCTCTTTTAAAAAAAGAAAAAAGAAATTAAGATGGAAAAGAAAAATGTTTCCTAAGTCCATAGTTCTAACTCTCAAGAATCAAGGTGTTATAGTGTGTATGTGTGTGGGGAGGGGAGTGGGGTAGGGTTTTCTCAAAATAAAAATTAGGTAAAGGAAGGCTTTTATAGAGCACTTAAAAGAAATGCAGGATTGTGCTTGAGATGTTTTTAACTTTTTATTTTGAAATAATAAAAATAAAATTCTTCTTATAGATTTATAGGAAGTTGCCCAGTCTTCCCAATGATTACATCGTATGTAAATAAAGTACCATATAAAGACCAGAAAATTGACATAGGTACAATGTGTGTGAATAGCTATTTTATTACATGTATAGATTTGTGGAACCATCACCACAATCAAGATACAAAACTATTCCATCATCACAAAAATCACCCTGGTGTACCTCTTTATAATCACACCCACCCCAACCATCCATGAACTCTGGTAACCATTAATTTGTTCTCCATCTCTATAATTTTGTACTTTAAAGAGTACAATTTGCTTAAGAAAGGATTGGCACCTCTAGTTTTCATAGAATCTCAGGCTTGAATTCGTGAATTCTTCAGCCCAATCTCCTGTCCCATGCCCAGATTCCCTCTACAATATCTCTTCCAAGTGTCCATACAGCCCCTACCACAAACCAGAACCTTGATTTTTGGGGAGTGTTAAGGTATTTTATACAAAAACTTTAGAGCAAGAACATTGTTTGCTTCCATACACTTATTCAATAATTAGCAAAACTCTTCAGAAATTCTTTAACTGTAGATTAAATAGTCTTGCCTTCAACAACAGGGACCTTTCAAATGTAAGTGGTTCATATATGGAATTTATTTCCTGGGCTGATTGTGTGTGTGTTATCTACATATCTACAATGATCATTCTTTGAGGTAATCTGAACTGGAGCCCAAATCCCCTGGAGTCCAACTCCTAGGACTCCCTTGTGGGAAAGAGCTCTACAGGGCCCTCTAGAGCCCATAACATCATAAAATATTGACTGAAAGTCATGCTAAGGCCAGGTAGGGCTAGCAGAAGTGAAGCCACGGGGGTTCCATGGCTCAGATTAACTTGGAATCCCTATCCTCTTCTTCTCTGGACTGTTCTGCAATCTTTCTTCTTTGCACAAACTTAACTTGCTGTTCATGTCACAAAGAACACTGTACTCTCAACTGGATAGCAGCACATACACAAATCCACTCAGACCTTTGAGGATGTGCCCTTTAGAAGAAATGACTTCAAACAAATGGTTCCCTTTAAGAGCCAGCCCCAGAGGTAGAGCTACAGCGGATATCTGACTTTGGGCCAGTAGACACTACAGTTTAGTGAATGTTCTCTTCCTTCTTGAAGTCAGAGCAATGGTGCTCCAGCTCCCTACTTTCTGAGTAGGGGCCCCTGCCTTCCAGAACATTCATCGCTTTCCCCTGCAACAGCCATGCTGTTGGTCCACAGGTGAGGAGAGGATGAGGAGCAGTGTGGGAGGGAAAGAGAAAGCATCTAGCTAGGTGCCCTACATCAAATGCCACTGCTCTGGGTCCACATCACAGCTTACAACCCAAAGGCCTTCAATATGCATGAAGAACGCAGCTACTCATGTCTCAACGTCTTTTATCTCGCCAAATAACCCAAGTAGAATTTGTAATTTCCAAAGTGAAGATATTTCCAACTGATTTAATAATCCTGAGATGTTATCAGCTGCCATGGATTTTTAAGGGGATAATTATGTGACTACTTGTGTGCTGTCTTTTTCTTCCACCTGTGGTAAACGAAAGGAAGACAGGACAGGTTATGGTCTGGGTGCCAATTTTGGCCCTGCCCTTCTTTGCTGAGCAGCCTTCTTGTGGATGCCAAGTAACTTCAACTCTCAGAGCCTCAGTTTCTTCATTTGCAAAAGAGGTATAAATAATAACTGCCCTCTTAACCTTACAAAGATTAGAGAAATATATCTTAGAAACGTCATTGTAAAAGTTTCAGAGGAAAATATAGTGATAAAACATTCAAGTACAGTACTAAACCTGGTTAAAATTTTTTTCAATGTTTACAAAAACATTCTTAAAATAACTCAAAATGTTGTCTATTTTGCCATATATGGCTTTTTTGGCCTATTTTGAGTCAATTTTTAGTATTAATTATATTTTTTATTTTTTTTAATATATTTTATTGATTTTTTACAGAGAGGAAGGGAGAGGGATAGAGAGTTAGAAACATCGATGAGAGAGAAGCATCGATCAGCTGCCTCCTGCACACCCTCTACTGGGGATGTGCCCACAACCAAGGTACATGCCCTTGACAGGAATCAAACCTGGGACCCTTCAGTCTCCAGGCCGACGCTCTACCCAGTGAGCCAAACCAGCCAGGGCATTACTTGTATTTTTTAGCATGATGGCAAAGTTAGCCATAAACTATTATGAAATCTGTGTTAAACAAAAATAAAATTCCACGACTAAAGTCTGTTTTAAAAGAAAAGGTTAATATTGAGTCATATGCTATCCAGAAGGTTCTGGGGCATGAAGTCTAAACCAGCAGCAGCATGGCCAGATGGAAAAGACAGCATGCCCTTTGACCTGGAGTTGCAGGCTCTTTCATATCTTGTTTTGGAAAGGAACGATGTAAGTTGTTTTGAAAGAATTTACATTGGCTACAGATAAGGTGGGCAGAAAAGGTGAAGCAGAGGCAGGTTTACGGTGAGTGCACAGTTTGTAAGGGAGAAATATTTACTATTGACTGGCTACAGGCCACAGTCCTGAAAGTTCATGCATATGCAGGATGCTATGGCACCTAGTGGTCAGTTAATAGATGCCAGAAAATTGATTCAAAGCTCCCACATATATTCAGGAATGTGAGCAATTCTTGTTAGTTGCCCCACAGCTATTAACTGCTTAACTATTCTTGTTCCTTTCTTACTCTCCAGCTGCTGTAATTTAGAACATCTCAGAATTTTTCTTTGGTCATTCCGTTTATAATGTGGGATTTTAAAAAATGTGGAATAAAGTGATCCAAATACCTATTTATAAGGCAGAGATGATACACTAGGAGTTTGATTTCACACATAAAGGCAATTAGCTTTGTTTAGCCAGTAGGTTTACTACTTTTCAGGATTACTGTTTCACAACAGCAAGTTGTATCTGGGTCATCTGGTTGTAAGTAGAAAGTGAATCATAACCACTGTGACAGTCGATCACAGGACAGTTTGTGTGCCTTTTCACCTGGCCTATTTGTGTGTCTATGTGTTAGGGCAGGTTGCCCTGAACAGGATCCCCGGGGCTTTGAGTTGAGAACTTCATCAGGTTCCTGATAGAGTCTAATTAATCATCAAATCAGTTCATTGTCATGCTGATCCAGTAATGGAGGTCCCTAAAGTCATTAGGGCAGCAGAGAGAAGGAAATGGCCTAATCTCCCAGGATTAGAGGGGAGAAGTTCCTAAAATCTAATGAGTTCCTGCTAAAGTGGGGCATGCTCCAGGAATTATGATTTTTCTCTTTCCCTGTAATACCCCTTTCAAAAAGCTACCCAGAAAACAAAAGGGCCTATTGCATTGCCCAGCAGTACTCAGGCATTTAAGGCTTCCTTCTCAGTGTAAGCAATTCACGCTTGCACAGAGCTATATATGTAGACTTAGACCCCCCCGGCTGGTTGGAAAGTGAAACAGCAGCCAACTACCTGCCCTTCCTGCCTATCTACTATGAAACTGGGTGGTTGGTTTTTTGTTTGTTTGTTTGTTTGTTTGTTTGTTTGTTTTTTAAATGCATTTACCAGTTATTTTGGTTTACAGCAAAACCTTTTGTTCTGGGAGAGCTGTGGTTTGCAGTTTGGTTCATATTTGGATCAACAGTCACTGTCAAGGGGAGTGAGTTTGATAATTGCTCCAGTTTGTTTGTTTTCCTGACTGCTCTGAAATATTTAGCTATCTACATGATACCATAATAACTTCTTGAAAGTGAAAAGATCTTTCAGTGGAGCACGTGATTGCTTGCATCACAGCAGCTTGGTTTTCTGTTATTGTTGTTACTAGAGGCCCGATGCACGAAATTCACATAAGAGTAGGCCTTCCTACCCCCGGCTGCCGGCACCAGGCTTCCCTCTGTCACCTGGGACTCAGGCTTCCCTCCAGCTGCCAGCAGGCACCGGAGACCCTGGCTTCCCTCGCAGTCCTGGCTTCGTCAGGAAGGTCGTCCGGTCTAATTAGCATATTATGCTTTTATTATTATAGATCATCAAGATGACTGGTTGTTTTGAGTAAACACATGCTACATATCCTTTTCTGAGTTGCCCCACAAATGAACTCCCTAGCTGGGAGACAGCATGCTATAAGTGGTTAAATAATAAACTCGGAAGCCAGACAAATCTAACTTTATTAAAAGCAGTGAAATCTTAGAATGGCCAATAATATCTCTGAGCTTTGGTTTTCTCATCTATAAACTGGGCATGATAATATCTGCCTTGAGGTGTTGTTGAAGGATTGTTAGGAGATTATTTTAAGTGTTTACTCTGGGCCAGTCAGTCAGTGCTTAAGAACTTTTAATGCACATACAGATCTTGTTAAACTGTTGACATGATTCAGTAGGTCTGGGGTGAAGCCAGAGAGTCTTCACTGTCAATAAGCTTCCATGCTGCTGGTCCACAGGTCACCACTTTGAGTTGCAAGGGTCTAGGTATCAAGTGCAAAGTGCCTAGCACAGTTAGTACTTAATACATGTCACCCAAAAATAATTTACTCACTTAAAAATTACTGAAAAGATGCTCTAGCCAGTTTGGCTCTGTGGATAGAGTGTCGGCCTGTGGACTGAAGGGTCCAGTGTTTGATTGTGGTCAAGGGCATGTACCTTGATCCATGGCCCCAGTCAGGGTTCGTTCAGGAGGCAACCAATTGATGTATCACTCTCACATTGATGTTTCTCTCTCTCTCTCTGTCTCTCCTCCTCCCTTTCCCTCTCTCTAAAAATCAATGGAAAAACACCCTCGGGTGAGGATTAACCAACACACAAAAATTACTGAGAAGAAACCTTTTTTTCCCACATAAGTAATACCTGTCTGCCTATAGCTATGTTCTTACAGTCTTTACAAAATGTCTCTTTGAAACTGGCCATGGTTAGTAATTTCTGAAGGCAGGTAATGGGTAAACGAGAGAGGTTCATTACACTATCCTGTCTGCTTTTGTACATGTTTAACAATTTCCATAATAAATTAATTTTAAAAAGAAAACCCCAATAAGATTTTTAGGGCAGCGAAACTATTCTGTATACTAGAATGGTGGATACATGTCATTATACATTTGTCCAAACCCATAGAATAATGATAGCGAACCTATGACACGCGTGTCAGAGGTGACATGCAAACTCATTTTTTTGGTTGATTTTTCTTTGTTAAATGGCATTTATATAAAATAAATATCAAAAATATAAATCTTTGTTTTACTATGGTTGCAAATATCAAAAAATTTCTATATGTGACACGGCACCAGAGTTAAGTTAGGGTTTTTCAAAATGCTGACACGCTGAGCTCAAAAGGTTCGCCATCACTGCCATAGAATATACAACACCAAGAGTGAACCCGACATATATGATGGACTTTAATAATGATGTATCAATGTGGGTTCATCCATTGTAACAAACGCATCACTTCGGGATGTGATAGTCGAGGAGGTTATGAATGTATTTGAGAGGGCAGGGATATATGGGAACTCTCTAGTTTCTGCTCAACTTTGCTGTGAGCCCAAAACTGTTCTAAGTAATAAAATCTATTAAGAAAAAATCCCACCAACAAACAGAAAACACCTGTTTCCTAGCAGCCTGAAAACAGTTTAGGCCAGTGGTCGGCAAACTGGCCCCTTGAGTGTGGCTCTTCCACAGAATACCATGAGCGGGCGCACACGTACACTGCGATTGAAACTTTTTTTTTTTGCCCATGGCAACTGAGGACACAGTTGTCTTTTTCAATCGGGAGGGAGTCTCAAGCTCCCGACTGCTCAGAACTCCAGTTCCAGGCGAGTCTCTGGGGACCCAGACTCATATGGGGATAAACTGGACTGTCTGGCATTGGTCGGAACTCGAGGGCAGCTTTCTCTGAGGTGCTTGCAGTGATTACCAGGACACTGAGACACGGGGCCTCTTAGGTAGGACTGAGGAGCAGCCACAGCTGCTTGCTCCACCCTGTTGGTCCCCTGAGACCCCGCCCCACCCAAGCTGTGTGCAGAGGCTTTTGCATATGAAAGGCCTGACCCTTTGCAATCTGAAAATTACCTAACAAACTGCAGCTGGGTCAGAGAGACCCAAAACTTCCAAAAGAAGGCCCAAGGCCCCACAGAAGCTTGCATTGCTTCACAGCTGGGCTTCATCTGGGCACCTCCAAACCCCAAACAAAGAAGAGGAATCTGAAGATCTCTCCATAGCTCCTGCTGGTAGCCTCAGGCAGAGGCTAAATTAGCACCTCCTTAGAGATCCAAGAGCCAGTGTACCCAGTGGTCAGAGTGGGACCATCCAGATTACAACTCCTCAGATCCATAAGGGACACACTCAGGGGGCAGACTCAGTGAGCACCAAAGCCCCACTGAAGCAAGTCTTGCCCCATAAGAGTGTCTCCAGCACAGAAGTTCTCCCACTGCAGACACAGCTGATTCTCACAGCCAACTGGCCTGGAGGTCAGTTCCTCCCAGTGATACCTACAACAATCAAGGCTTAACTACAACAAGACTGTGCACACAGCCCACAAAGGGGTGCACCAAGAGTGTCCACCTCAGGTAATTGGGGAGGCTGAGCCACTGGGCCCTATAGGACACCTAGCACAGAAAGCCACTCTATCAACACAGGGAAGCATAAAAAATGCGGAGACAAAGAAACAGGTCACAAATGACAGAAATGGAGGAAAGCAAACTACTAGATATAGAGTTCAAAACCACACTTTTAAGGTTTTTGAAGAATTTTCTAGAAACCGCTGATAAATTTAGTAAGACCATTAATAAGTCTAGTGAGACCACTGATAAATTTAGTGAGACCCTCAAGAAATCTAGTGAGACCCTCGAGGTTATGAAAAAGGACCAACTAGAAATTAAGCATACACTGACTGAAATAAAGAATATTATACAGAGTTCCAACAGCAGACTAGAGGATCACAAGAATCAAGTCAAAGATTTGAAATACGAAGAAGCAAAAAACACCCAACCGGAAAAGCAAAAAGAAAAAATAATCCAAAAATATGAAGATAGTGTAAAGAGCCTCTGGGACAACTTCAAGCATACCAACATCCAAATTATGGGGGTTCCAGAAGAAGAGAGAGAGCAAGATATTGAAAACCTATTTGAAGAAATAATGACAGAAAACTTCCCCTACCTGGTCAAAGAAATAGACTTACAAGTCCAGGAAGCACAGAGAACTCCAAACAAAAGGAATCCAAAGAGGACCACACCAAGACACATCATAATTAAAATGCCAAGAGCAAAAGACAAAGAGAGAATCTTAAAAGCAGCAAGAGAAAAACAGTCAGTTACCTACAAGGGAGTACCCATACAACTGTCAGCTGATTTCTCAACAGAAACTTTGCAGGCCAGAGGGAGTGGCAAGAAATATTCAAAGTGATGAATACCAAGAACCTACAACCAAGATTACTTTATCCAGCAAAGCTATCATTCAGAATTGAAGGTCAGATAAAGAGCTTCACAGATAAGAAAAAGCTAAAGGAGTTCATCACCACCAACCCAGTATTACATGAAATGCTGAAAGGTATCCTTTAAGAAGAGGAAGAAGAAAAAGGTAAAGATACTAATTATGAACAACAAATATGCATCTATCAACAAGTGAATCTAAAAATCAAGTGAATAAATAATCTGATGAACAGAATAAACTGGTGAATATAATAGAATCAGGGGCATAGACAGGGAGTGGACTGACTATTCTCGGGAGGGAAAGGGGTGTGGGGGTGCGGGAAGAGACTGGACAAAAATCGTACACCATGGATGTGGACAGTGCGGGGGGGGGGGGGCGGGGTTAAGGGCAGAGGGTGGGGTGGGAACCGGGTGGCGGGGAGCTATGGGGGGGGGGAGAAGAACAACTGTAATAATCTGAACAATAAAGATTTAATTAAAAAAATAAAAAATAAAATGAATAAGCCACACAAAGGATAGGAGAAAACTAAAAAAAAAAAAAAAAGAAAAGAAACTTCGTGGCTCATGCCACGGGGCCAAAGAGCTGCATGTGGCTCTCGAGCCACAGTTTGCCGACCACTGGTTTAGGCTAAAGATCCAGTTTACCTAGTATACAGTGATTAGCTCCAAAAACCTGTTCATTAGGAGAAAGGTTTCATTTCAATTCCTTACCTTGCCTCTTATGACATGATTGTGTAAAAGTAATTTATCCTTCCCAGGGTTTAGCACATTTTTTCCCTTACCATTAGCACAGCTCACACTTCAGTTTGTCCAGATGGATTTTGCATTGTTTTTCTCTACCTTGGTGGACTAAAATCTGTCTACATGCTCATGAAATCATTTTATTTATTGAATCAGAGCTTTTCCCCACCTACCTGGATCACATCCTAATCTTCCCAGCGTGTGGTTTCATTAAGTCTGTGATTCACAAAGCAATCACCCAGCTAATTGGAAAATGCATTCAGTGGACTGAACATTCCCTTCATCATCTTCCTACTGGATTCCATTTTTATTAGGTACTGAGCTGACATAGCCCAGTGTAGGTGTCACTTTAAATTTTGGACAGCTTTTGATTAACCAAGTGACAGGGGCAAATCAGAGAGAAACTAAATGAACAAAAATAAAGGAAACAGCCAGATTTGAGTTTGATCTATTTGCATATTTTTTCTCTTGGTTATATAAAGTGTCTCCAAACTAGTGTCCCAATTGATTCCTTTTTTTTCTGCCTATGGCTTATTTAAAGGGTCTTTGATGTGGTAACTGGATAAGGCTTCATCTCAAAGTCTGGGTCAACTCTTTTTCATTTTGTTTGGTACTTAATCCTGGAGAGTAATGTTCTGCTCTGGTATGTTGTTTATCACTTCCAGACTATAGGTGTAGCAAATATTTTCCTGATGAAATAATCACTAACTTGACATTCTGCTACTGGGATAATACAGCTAGGCTCTGTAGAGAATCTTCTAGTGTAGCTGCATGGTCCCAGTATCACCATCCTTCTAATCATTATAAATTGTTCCCTTTAGGCATGTTCTCTCAAAATAACAGGGCTTTAGATGCTACTTGAAGTCTTCAATCTCTTTCATAATAGCAAAGTTTTGAAACCTCAGCATTCTATTTCCGTTTTCATGTTGAAACTCTGGAGGTGTCTTCTGGGCAGCTGCTATATAGTTTTTCCACTCACTTGTTTGGTGAATGAAAATATCTAGGAGACACTCATTTCTAGAATCCCATCTAGAAACCTGAAACTTTACATGCTGACTTTGTATAACTCCTTCTGAAGTGGACTCGGGTGGCAAAATTGTGGAGGCCTAACAATTTTGAGGTGGCAGAAACACCTGCAGTTACAGATAATTATAGCTATTGCCATGGCTCTTGCTGTACATTGCCTGTTTGCTAGATCCTTTTTTAGGATGAATAATAATTGTTTTCATAATGAAAACTACCTTTTCACTTTATCCTTGATTAACCTTTGTAATACTTGTGGCCCCTTAGTAAGCTCGGTTCTTTCCTCACTACCCTATGTTCAGCCCTTTTAATCATGGCAGGAAAAAGTTTTCTTTCTGGTAGACAGGTAATAATGGCACACACATTGCAGTCTCAAATATCTCCCTAGAAACTATTTCAAAACAACTCTATGTCGTGGCACATGCATCCTTGCCTTTTCTTATGAACCCAACTCTTTTCCATATATAAGTCAAACCTACCCTTTAAAAGCCAGCTCAGGTACCCCAACTCCTACAACATTTGTAGGGTATGCCACGCACTTCAGCATGGAATTGGATCAAAGGCTGTCTAAATTCCATTTCCTTTTCTGCCCTTCCCCAACACCACCACACACTCAACTGTGAACTGCAATCTAGACAGTGCAGATACACAGTGTATGATCACTTGCCAGGCACCCAGTTCTTATTGATTACAGCCTGTCAAAATGCAGCATTGTTTTGAATTAAAGGGCAAGACTTAGTGAATTGAATTAAGTAATCTCTAATAGGAAGATTCAAGTTTTATGATTCTAGGAATCTACTTTGGCAATTAATTTTTGTGGAGGCCCTTTTATAAAACTGGAAATTACATTCAGGAGAGAAGAAAAACAACTTCCAAAGGGAAACACTGATTGCAAATTTAGTAGTTGATATGAAATACTGCTACTGAGTCATCAAGAATTAACCTCTTACAAGATTATATGAGAATTAATAATGCCACATTTTTGGCTAGCACCTTTATTGTTTTGTTTTTTACACTTATGTATTTGCATCTGTTTCTGTACTTCTGATTCTTTTCCACTGGTCTATTCATGGGCAAATATCACACTGTTGGAATTTTGGGGTTATATATTTTAATATTGGGAAAATTTCCTCCTTTACTCTTCTTTTGAAGAGTTTTCATAGCCATGCCTATTTCTCCACATGAATTCTAGAATCAACTTACCTAGGTAAAAAAAATACCAAAACCACTTGGTATTCTTATTGGAATCATGTTAAATTTATATAACTTAGAAATAAGGGAAATTTTTATGATGTCAAGAATATACATATCTAAGAATATGCCAGATGTCTTCCATTTGTTCAAGTCTAGTTTTGTGTTTACAAGAGTATCTTATAGTTTAAAGATTTTGGGACTTTTTAAAGATTAAACCTAAGGCTTTTTAGTTTAAGTTTTTGCTATTATATTATTAAATCTCCTAACTGGTGTTTGTGTGTATACATACATGTATCCATGTAACCTTGGGGTGGGGTAGAGTTTTCTATTATTCAAAACACAGAAGTCATAAAAGATTAATAAATTCAACTACCCCAGAATAAATTTTGCATGCTAAAGACACCATAAGCCAAGTCAAGAGAAAATTATAAACTGAAAGGAAATATTTGCAACTCATATCACAAATAGCTCCTACAAGTCAATAAGATAAAAACTCACCCACCCACCAGAAAGCAGGGGTTGCGGGACAAAGGATGTGAATAAATTAGTCTATGAAAAGATATACTCAACCTCACTTATAAGTTAATAAAAATTAAAACTACACTGAAATACCATTCCTCATGTATCAGATTGGAAAACACATGGCTAATGAGACTATGAAAGAACAGGTACTCATGCATTGCTGATAGAACTGATAAAGGAGGAACTGGTAAAACGCATTATGCTACATGCCTTATAAGAAAATACTACGCAGCTGTAATAAAAAGAATGAAGACATTCTTCAATTAATCATATAGAAAGTTCAACTACTGATATAGTGTTAAGTAAAAAAAATGCTAGGTGCAGTATTTAAAACATGCTACCATTTTTACATAAAAGCATATAAAAATAAGAATAAGGTTTCCCCCACTATCAGAAACTATTCTCATTTTTACGCTTTTAAGAAATTGCATCCCTATGAAACCTTTCAAAAGCTGAAATGGTGTAAAGCAAAGAAGCAATTACCTTAAGACACATCTTGCTAATGGGTGCAAGATAATAAATCACACATGCTCAGAGGTCAAAGCTATGGCGGCTTGATGCTGACATGCTGAGTATAATTCCCAGGTAAGGAGCTTGGTGGGGTCCACTCTTGCTGCTCCGGGTACATACTGCAAAACAAACATTGAACACTATTTTTGCTTTTTGCCTTTTTCATAAAAGCAAAAATCCTTTTTAGATCTTTTGGTTAAGGGAAACAAGTATTAAGTAATTCTTTTGTAAGAGAAGTGGCATAAAGCAAACTTTCCAAAAGCAGGGAATACCAGCATATATGTATTTGGATAAAGAAACAATACCATGTTTAAACTAATAAAAGTGGTCACTTGTGATGAGTGGACAGGGAATGGGGTAGACAAGGATGAAGAGGAGTAACTTTTCACTATACACCTTTTTTATTTTTGAAGCACATGACTGTTACTTTTTCAATAATTAAAAATAGTAGCTGCTTTGGTAAATTAAGATAAAAATTTAAGATATTTAAGCTCACATGTTTTGCTCATTTTTTTCTATTTAACCCACAGGAATAGGAGATAGTTTAGGAATTAGGAGAGCTAAAACTTTTGAGTTCCTCAGAGTAACCCAAATAAAATGTGTAAATCAATGTGAAACTTGTGTCTCCATTTTCTTTTATTTTTAAGTAATTTATTTTTATTACAATGTGTTATCATACACACACATGCGTGCACATGCATGTGCACACATACCCATACACACGCGCGCACACACACACAGGACTTAAGATGGACAGAGAAACAAGGATAGCCTCCAAACAGGTTTTTTTACAAAGTTCAAAATAGATTACATTGACGTTTATGTGCTTTCCATTCATTACACAATGTACAGACATGATCCGTTTAATGATTTATGCTCCCCAAATGGTTAAACCAATCAGGATTTTCTATGAAAGAGTATATGTAAAAGCTTTTACGTTAGACGCAAAGAACTGTTTCCTGCTAAAACCAACCTCAGGCGTACATTTTGTGTTTACATATACTCCTTGAGAATACTACAGTAGCAGTGCATAAGTTCATTCTGTAAAAAGATCTGAAAAAAGAATTGAGACTCTTAATGCATTGTGCTCTCAGATAAAAATCCTAAGTATGACAGTAACAGTTAAAACTGCATATATGTGTTAGAGATCAGAAGATGCTATAAAGAAATGTAAATAGTTGTGCTTCGGGGACTTTTTCATAAAGTTGTTTTAATAATAAATATAAACTTAAAAATGTCTCAGTGACTGATATAAAATAGACACAGATTTCAAGGATTCTCTATACTTGGCTTAGAGTTTAAAGGTGAAAAATCATCTCCACATAAACCATCCGGTATCTGGTAATCCCAAACTGGCCTAGTCTCCTACAGTCAGGCAAGAGGCTGGGGAGAAAAAGATTTTTCCTCCTATTAACATAAAGCATTATCCAAAGCAGGGGTCCTCAAACTTTTTAAACAGGGGGCCAGTTCACTGGCCCTCAGACCGTTGGAGGGCCGGACTATAGTTTTAAAAAAAACTATGAACAAATTCCTATGCACACTGCACATATCTTATTTTGAAGTAAAAAAACAAAACAGGAACAAATACAATATTTGTATTTGCATGTGGCCCGCGGGCCGTAGTTTGAGGACCCGTGATCCAAAGGTAAAGCCAAGGTGAACCACTAACTAAACACATGCCTACCTTCCTTTAGATTTCTTAGACCAAATAAGAGAGGTCAGCCTACTTTTATGAGGTTTAAAATAACCCCACATGTTTGGTGTCTGGACCACAACCTATTCTGTAATTCAGAAGATGAATTAAATATGTCCTGTCTTCTGTGAGCCCTAGAATAAGCATGATTCCTCAATACTTTGTGCTTTATAAAAAACCCTCAACACATTAACTGTAAAACTCTTATTTCAGAAACACCATGGCAGCTGTTTATAATAGAAGCCAAGGTATAATTTACATAGTAATGTTGATGTTCGTAGCAAGGAAATAAATGTACTTTTATTTTTAGGCTAGTCAGTTTGCTGTTTTAGGCCTTTAACTAACTTTGAAGGACACATGAGCCTAACAATTAAAGTAAATTTAAAATGAATTAGAAAAAAGATGAGAAAATAACAAATGTTTTAATTAAAGTCTTTTGCACAACAGGTTTAGATATAAAAAGAATTTCTTCAAAGAATTTCCTCGGTGTCACTCAGAAGCATCCTGGTGTGTTGTTGGTTTTTGTTTTTTTGTTTTTTAATAACATAATGTGCTGGAGTCCTTTGAATAAAATTATAAAGTAATTTAAAATATATATTATATATTTATAATCACTGTAAATCATTCAATAGTTTATAGCATATTAATGGAGTGAAATAGAGATAAAAGGCAGTCCACATTCATATTTTCAAGATAAATTTACTTCAGAAGTCAATTGAATTCCTTGCTCATGTTCTAAATATAGCCATTGTGATAAGACCTGAAAGAAAAGAAAATGAAGAACAGTTAAAGACATGCATTTTACAAAATTTTCCATTCAATAAGCAATTGTTTAGCCCTCAATGAGCAAATAAAATACAGCACATAGGCAGGTACTCTACCCAGAGCCTGAAGTCAATTTGAATTTAGTTGATATCATACAGAAGAAATCCAATTTATAGCAAAGGGCAGTCACTGGATATATTTAATGTCTGAGCACAGCTAATGTTTTAACCATCAAATATACCTCCCACTTTATCCAATCACTTCAGTTATATAATAATAGCAAATGTACCATTAAAGTGTCAGTAAAGCCAGTTGACTTCATCCAAAAAAAGAAAGTAACTTTGTGGGCCACAAAGAGACAGAAGCATGGTACTCCTGAAGAGATATCATACATAAAACCATAAAAATTTAATAAAATGTTCAGTCCTAAATGAGTGGTTCAAAACCACAAATGTGAAATGAAGTACAGAGAAGGAGAATAATCATGTGGGACTGGGGCAGTCAGAAAACATACCCCAAAATGTAAAGCTGAAATAAACCTAAAAGATGATCAGAAAAGATACAGAACAATGATATGGGCAGACATTCAGATGAGGGAAGAGTAAGGGCAAGGGCATGGAGATAAGACTGGGACTCTTGATGAGCTTTCTGGGGATCAATAAATAACCTAACCACTCTAATTAAGGATTTATGAGTAGCTCAGAGAGATCTCAGACAGTGTATGGAACATCTTAAATGCCAAACTATAGATTTATATTTCATTTTATAGACTATGGCAGGGGTGGGGAACATCCAGCCAGTGGACCATATAAGGCCCTTGAAATCATTTGGTCTGGCCCTGCCAAGGCATTAGGGTTACTTAATTAAATGTCTGACCAAATACAACAGGCTAATTTATATATATATATATATATATATATATATATATATATATATATATATATATATATATATAAATATAAATATAAATATATACATATATATATATTGATTTTTTACAGAGAGGAAGGGAGAGAGATAGAGAGTTAGAAACATCGATGAGAGAGAAACATCGATCAGCTGCCTCCTGCACATCTCCTACTGGGGATATGCCCGCAACCAAGGTACATGCACTTGACCGGAATCAAACCTGGGACCTTTCAGTCCACAGGCGGACGCTCTATCCACTGAGCCAAACCGGTTTCGGCAACAGGCTAATTTTTAAGTTGATACTTTTGTATGGCCCAAGAATCTATAATAATAAAAGTGTAATATGCTAATTAGACTGGACATCCTTCCAGACGACCTTCAGGGCTGTGAGGGAAGCCCGGGTCCTGGGTGCCAGAGGGAAGCTGGGGTCGGCAGCCGGGGGAAGGAAGGCCTACTCTTGCACAAATTTCTTGCATCAGGCCTCTAGTCCTATATAATAAAAGCCTAATATGCTAAATGTCCAGTTGTCCGGTAGGCATTCAACCAATCAAAGTGTAATATGCTAATGATATGCTAAGGCCATTCAACTGCTCCCTATGATGTGCACTGACCACCAGGGGGCAGACAATCAGTCGACCAGTCGCTATGATGTGCACTGACCACCAGGGGGCAGACGCTCTGCCCGGTAGGTTATCTTGCTGCTAGGGTCCAGCCAATCGGGACTGAGTGAGATGGGCTGGACACACCCTGTAGCCCTCCCGTGGCCCCTCCCAGGCTGGTCAACCTCCCATGTCCCTCCCTGGCCCCGACTGCTCCTGTGGGGTCCCTCGACCTCGCCTGTGCCCTCTTGCAATCTGGGCTGAGGGATCCCCTGAGTGCACAAATTTCATGCACCAGGCCTCTAGTGATGTTATAAATATACAAATGTCCTTTGGCAGTAAAAAGGTTCCCTACTCCTGGACTATGGGGAAACATTGAAGGTTTTTGAGCAGGGAGTGGTGGTAGTGAAACAAAAACAGAATGGAAAGCAATGTGACAACAATATAATAGATGTGGGGTTTTTTTTGGGGGGGGGTGAATAATGGGAAAAGACAGAAATAGGAAGGGGCACAGTCAGAAGATAGGGAGACAATTTAGAAAACAATTTTTAAATTAGAAAGAGAAGGCACCAGCCCAGCTAGTGTGGCTCAGTGATTGAGCATCAACTCAGGAACCAAGAAGTCACCAGTTCAATTCCCAGTCAGGGGACATGCCCAGGTTGTGGGCTTGATCCCCAGTAGGGGCCGTGCAGGAGGCAACAAATCAATGACTTCCTCTCTCATTGATGTGTCTATCTCTCTATCCCTCTTCCTTCCTCTCTCTCTAAAATGCAATAAAATTTTTTTTTTAAAATGAGAGTGTACCAAGGAATACTGAAAAGGGTTGGCATCTCAGAAGAGATGAGAGACAGAATCTTAATCCTTCACACATTAGACAGGTACTGAATAAATGTTCCGTTGAACTAATTACAAATTTTCAAATCAGGATGAGTGAAAGAATGACTTAACAGGAAAAAGGGGAACTGTTTTAAAGAGAAAGGTTCATTGCCCAGCCTGCAGGGCTCAGTGGTTGAGCATCAATCTATGAACCAGGAGGTCACAGTTGGATTTCTGGTCAGGGCACATGCCTAGGTTGTGGGCTCAATCCCCACTGGGGGGCATACAGGAAGCAGCCAATCAATGATTCTCTCTCATCATTGATGTTTCTATCTCTCTCTCCCTCTCCCTTCCTCTCTCAAAGCAATAAAAATAAAGAGAAAGGTTCACAATATTAAACAAGGTTGCATTGTTCATCTCTATCATTGTGTATACTTTGTCTAAGTGTTCCATAGGATCAAGTCCTAGAAGTAGAAAAGCTGTATCATGGAATATATGCATTTTACACATGTTTTATACCATTGTAACTCAGTAAAAATAAAATAATCAAATAAATACAGTATCAGGTACTAAATAAATAAGCTAAAAAAAACTAAATGTGAGCCAAAAAATTAAATCTTAAAATGTACTTGGCCTCAACATGTTTTTAAAGCAATCTTTTATGTTTTGCTAAAAAAAAATCAAACCAACACCACCACCGTCATCCAATATACATAAGACCATCACTACCACCTCCAAGCCATACATAGTGCCTACACATATGCCCCAAATCTTTAAAACACTTACCTAAGATGTAAGCAGCCACTAATTTTTGATTTACACTTAAGTGGAGGTAGAGAGGCACCAGCGATTCCACATCCCCCAGTGTAGGAAGCATCAGAGCTGCAATGCACACCACTGCCAGGAAGACAGTTAGTAAACTAGGTCCTGAGGAGACAGTTCTGTTTTCTGTATAAAAGACAAAAATCCTTGAGCTTGCTTCTATAAACAACTTAGACAAAAGTTTGTTCACATATACTGTCCACCATTCACCAGGATTCTGGTTTTGCCTAAATTCTCTGACTCTTTCCCCATCACTCCCATTCCATAGGGACCTATCTGCTGAACTTATCTGGAAGCCCATACTTCTCTGAGTCATAGGGTGGAATGTTGTAACAGCATTGTGAGGTAGTGAGTTCCTATTGAAAGGCTACCATCCTTCCGCACACTCTCCTCACTGTAATCAGTAGAACACGTTCAAGCATGTATCAGCTGTGTATGTTTATAAATTATATGCACAAATACTGTCCTATTATACTTAACATAAACCATACACATAAAATTTTTAAATAATGAGCTAAAAATAGACATTGAAATTCTGATGTTTTCTTCCTGTACCCTAATGGATTGCTTATGTGAACTTCTTTCTGAAACACACTGCACTAGAGCTCCACTACCTTCTAGAACTATCGTAGGTAGGTCTCCAGACATTTGGTCCTAATAACCACAGCATCCTGCAACTAATTTTGAAAATGTTAAGGCAGCAAAAAGGCACTATTTGAGTGTTTTAAAGCTACTTATGAAAACTCTTACCCTCTGCTCTACTCCCATTTACAGCAAAGAAGAAAGCAGCAGAAACAATATTTGGCAAATATTATGCTAAGTGAAACAAACCAGTCACAGGACAAATACTGCAAAATTCCACTTATACATAAAAAATTCCACTTATATGAAGTGTCTAAAATAGTCAAAGTCATAGAAGCAGAGAGTAGAATGGTGGTCGCTAGGGGTTGGGGGTGTTTGAGATGGGAGTTACTAATCAGAGGACATAAAGTGTCAATTATGTAAGATGAGTATGGACTAGAGATCTGCTGTACAACATTGTACCTATAGTCAACAATAGTGTTTTGTAGACTGAAATATTTGTGAACAGGGTAGATCTCATGTTAAGTATTCTTACCACGACAAAATAAAATTTATAAAGCATTTATTATCGGCCTTACTATTCTACAGTTCTGGTGTATGTGTACAATATCTATACGTATATTTTTAAGAAACCCATTAAGAGAATTTTCTGTTATTTGGCTTTTCCCACTACCCTTTCTTTCATTAAAAGGAATAGCCAACAACAACATAATCTTTGTCTTTCATTAATGAAATAATCCTGCTCATTTTATTATTAAATGCAGCTTTTCTAAATTATTAATACTTTAGCTTTTGTGCAAAGTTTCATGGAGCATCGCCAAAACCAGGTAAATGAAAACAAATTCAAATTTTATAGTGATTATTGTTTGAGGTGAAACAATAGCATTAATACCTAAAAACTTGCCCATGAACATAGACATAAGGGTAGTGAAGGCCTAGAGCCTGGAGCGGGACAGGAATCGAATGATGGGGGAATAGGGGGATAAAGAGGGGGATATTTGATGGGGTAAATACTTCAAAACAAGTCTTGTTTTCATTAATAAATGAAGTACCTTTACATTTATATTTGTTGCAAAGATATGTTTCCAAGGAAAACACTGACAATTACACTGCTCACTGCAAACCTACAATCGAGATAATTTCAAGTAATTTTTAGTATTTAGAGAAATTTTAAAAAATATTTGCATAAATGGTTGAAGTTTTTCAAAATGGAAATAGCTCTTTTTTTTAAATCCTCACCTGAAGACATACAGAGAGAGAGAGAGAGAGAGATCAGTTGCCTTCCCTAAGTGCCCCATTGGGGATGGAACCCGCAACCCAGGTATGTGCCCCAACCAGGAATCAAACTGGCAAACTTTTGGTGCACGGGATGATGCTTAATCAACTGAGCCACTCCACTGGGCAGGAAATCGCTCTTTTTATGATTGTTGTAAAAATTTTATAGAGATACAGAAATCATAAAATTCCTATGTAATCTCATCTTCCTGGAAATAACACTATGTAAAGCTTGCTACAGATCCTTTTGGATTTTATTAATGCCCATATAAACATGTAAAATAATTTTTTACATAAATGAGACTATAACACACTGTTATAATATTATAATATACTATAATATACTGTTCTATACCTGTTTTTTCTCACTTCAGAATATATTTGAACCCTTAGGAATATATTTGAACCTCTTTCCATGTTAATATACAACCATCTATCATTCTATTAGAACCTTATATATACCTGCCTGGCATCCCATCTCACAAACATTTATAATTTAATCAATCCCCAACTGATAGACATGTAAAAGTATGCTTTGTGGGTTCCCCTTAGTTAAATTTCTACTAAATGAATATATACAAGATTATATTTATGTGCATACACAAGTCCTAGAGAGTAACATGGAACATTTATATCAGCATATTTGTTAAGTGTATGGTATTATAAGGATTGCTTCCTTTTTAAAATTTAGTGCCATATGTTTTTATACAATAAACTTGATAAACAAATCTCATTTTTACTGCTTTACAATACATTTAAAAATCCAAATCTTTCATAAGCATAGCCTTTGACCATTTTCCAGCTAGCTCAGCGCCTCACAACATTGTTGTATTGATAACATGTCTAATAAACACTTTCCAAGCTAAAGACATGAAAAAATAATACCACTTCAAAACCTCTCCAGAAACAATCTCAATTTGTTTCAAAATTTTAGTTCAATCCTCGCCAGTTTGGCTCAGTGGATAGAGCATTGACTTGCAGACTGAAGGGTCCCAGGTTTGATTCCCGTCAAGGGCACATGCCTGGGCTGTGGGCTCAATCTCCAGTTTGAGGCGTGCAGGAGGCAGTCGATCAATGATTCTCTCTCGTCATTGATGTTTCTATCTCTCTCTCCCTCACCCTTCCTCTCTGAAATCAATAAAATATATAAAAAATTTTAGTTCAGAGAAACTTAATGATAAACCTGAGAATCTTATATACTGGAAACTACACATAATTCACTATAGTTGTGTGCCAAATCTGATGTTTTGGTCAACTACAGACTGCATATACAACTGTAGTTCCATAAGATTATAATGGAACTGAAAAATTCTTATCACCTAGTGATGTTGTAGCCATCACAGTGTCATAGCATAACACATTACTCACATGTTTTTGGTGCTACTGGTATGAACAAACCTACTGAGCTACCATTTGTATAAAAGTACAGCACATATAATTATGTACAGCACATAATTATTGATAATGATAATAAAAGATGATGTTACTGGCTTCTGTATTTACTATATTACATATACTTTTGTATCATTATTTTATAGTATACTCTTTCTACTTCTAGAGTTTGCTGTAAAACAGTATGCCATGTTATGCAGGAAACAGCAGCCTCACAGGTCTTATGTTTTCCATGTCTCTTGATTGTATCATGCTCTCTTGTGCTTGATTTAATCTTGTGTTGTTTTGTGCATTAACATGCTACACAGGTTTGTAGCCTAGAAGCAATAGGTTATACCTTATAGCCTAGGTGTGTAGTAGACTATACTATGTAGGTTTGTGTAAGTGCACTCTATGATGTTTGAATAACAAAACTGTCTAATGAGCCCTGACTGGTTTGGCTCAGTGGATAGAGCGTCACCCTGTGGACTGAAGGGTCCCGGGTTCGATTCTGGTCAAGGGCATGTACCTTGGTTGCGGGCACATCCCCAGTGGGGGGTGTGCAGGAGGCAGCTGATCGATGTTTCTCTCTCATCGATATTTCTAACTCTCTATCCCTCTCCCTTCCTCTCTGTAAAAAATCAATAAAATATATTTTTAAAAAACTGTCTAATGACACATTTCTCAGAATGTATCCCAGTGATTGACACATGACTGTAATAAAAAAATAAACAGAAGTTTAAAATATCACTTTGTCAATACAGACTAAATCAATCACCATTGCACTCTATTAAAGAAGAAAACTTTATTCAATTCCATATTAGAAACATTAGAAACATATCACCCTTGCTCTAGAGTGTCCATAGCAGTGGAAACCTTATAAGACAAAGAAAGCCAACCCAACAGACCCTACCAAATAAGAAGTTCAGTGAAGCTATAGTCAGCCACAGATTCAACAAACCATTGATTTGCAGTTGGAGGATACAGAACCCATGGATACAAAGGGCCGAATAAGACACTTGAGCAACTGCTGATTTTAGTATTGGGGGGTGGGGCGGTTCTGGAGCCAGTCATCCTCAGGTACCAAAGGACAATTGTACTCTGTGCTGAGAACATAATGGTACACCAGACAAATAAGAGGCCTGCTTTCACTGAGCTTTCTGACATGGATTTTTCTTTTTTTCAAAACAGAGATCACATGTTATTCCAGTATCACCTAATTTTATTTATTTACCTACTCCAATTTTACAATTAGAAGAATACTATATTTCAGATACCAAAGATTCGTTATAAAAATAAAGTAAGAATAAAATGCTCAATTATACTACACATTATAATTATTTAGCCTTTCAGGATAATTTTTCACCTAAATTTTCATGCACTTAAAAATAAAAGAGGATAGAGAAACCAAGATGGCGGCATAGGTAAACAACTGAAATTGCTGCCTCGCACACGCACTTCAAAAATACAACTAAAAGATAAAACGGACATCATCCAGAACCACAGGAAGGCTGGCTGAGTGGAAATTCTACAACTAGAAGGAAAGAGAAAAGCACACTGAGACTCAGAGGAGGTGCGGAAGTAAAGTGCAGAGCTGGGCCTCATCCGGGCACCTCCAAATCCCAAACAAAGAAGAGGAATCTGCAGATCTCTCCCTAGTTCCTGCTGGGTAGCCTCAGGAAAAGGCTAAATTAGCACCTCCTTAGAAATCCAAGAGCCAGTGTACCCAGTGGTCAGAGTGGGACCATCCAGATTACAACTCCTCAGATCCATAAGGGACACACTCAGGGGGCAGACTCAGTGAGCACCAAAGCCCCACTGAAGCAAGTCTTGCCCCATAAGGGTATCTCCAGCACAGAAGTTCTCCCACCATAGACACAGCTTATTCTCACAGCCAA